ATTTTTCTTTTGGTAAGTAGCCTGACATCAGCATCACATGCCACCAGTGAAAATCTCCCATTTGAAATTTAAGCCTAGCCCAAGTCTCCGAATGTTCAAGTCGGTATCACTTCATTAAAAAATAAAAATAGAATTCTCCAGGCAGTTTCCACCAGCAGCGAGCAGCTCTTTCGCGTGTTTCTCGGACTTCGCGGGCAGACAGCAAGCAGCATGGCCCCTAAACGCCAGCCTTCAAGCTTGCCGCAAATGAAGAACCCTAAGGTGCAGGGGACCCCGCCCCCCCAAGGAAGAAAAAGAACAGCAGGAAGCAATTGAACATATTGATGAGGTACAGAATGAAATAGACACTTAACGAACAAGCCAGTGAGGAGATTTTGAAAGTAGAACAGAAATATAACAAACTCCGCCAACCATGCTTTCAGAAGAGGTCAGAATTGATCACCAAAATCCCAAATTTTGGGGTAACAACATTTTCAACCACCCGCAAGTGTCTGTATTGCTTGGGGAAGAGGATGAAGAGGCTCTGCATTATTTGACCGGAGTTGAAGTGACAGAATTTGAAGATATTAAATCAGGTTACAGAATAGATTTTTATTTTGCTGAAAATCCTTACTTTGAAAATAAAGTTCTCTCCAAAGAATTTCATCTGAATGAGAGTGGTGATCCATCTTCAAAACCAACTGAAATCAAATGGAAATCCAGAAAGGAATTGACGAAATGGTCCACTCAGACACAGAACAAAGCCAGCGGGAAGAGGCAGCCTGAAGAACCGGAGTTTCTTTACCTGGTTTTCCGGCCACTCTGATGCGGGCGCAGGTGAGTTAGGAGAGGTCATCAGAGATGACATTTGGCCAAATCCATTACAGTACTATTTGGTTCCTGATATGGATGATGAGGAAGGTGAAGGAGAAGAAGAAGATGATGATGAAGGTTAGAAGACATTGATGAAGAAGGGGATGAAGACGAAGGGGAAGATGAAGATGATGACGAGGGAGCGGAAGAAGAGGGGGATGAAGGAGAGGATGACTAACAGAACACTGATGGATTCCAACCTTTTTAAATTTTCTTCAGTCCCTGGGAGCAAGTGGCAGTCTTTTTTTTTGTTTCTTCCTCCTGTGCTGAGTTGCCGTGTTCTTGAGGTCTCTTTTCTCTACACCATGGTTCTCAACTTATTTGGGGGTGGGGGGGAATAATGCCTTGTGCAGAATACAGTGGAGAAGAATCTCTACTCCCTTGTGTTCAAATTAATTTTTATCCCTTCCTGTCTCAACAAAAACTAT